GCAGATCCACCCCTGTGGATTTTTGTCAGGATCACAGGGATGAAGGAAGCTGGTCCCTGTCACTATCTTTATTGCCAAGGAGTTAGCTTGTCATATTTCTGTGGGCTTTTGCTTGTTCTGCAGGGGCAGCTCAATGAATAGCAAAGTGTATGTGAAAGTTTCTGAGTTTAAAGTATATCCAGTCTTTTCCTTAAATGCCTTAGCTGCCTCAGGGCACTAGGAAACCACTTACATTTCAATGCCTGACAAAAATAATCATGACACATGGAAAGAGGAAGGCTATGAACTGCTGCAAAAAAAATAGAGTAATATTGAAGTTCTGGTTCATGTGCTAAAAGCCACATGCACTATGCAGTGATGCTGTGCAGAATGACAAAATGCTGCTTGCTGGTGAAAACATGCTGTACACATATATTTCAGTGAGAGAGAAGAAATAAACTTTCTGCAATATTTTCCATACCTGAAGCTTTTCTGCTGCACCAAGCATGGTATGCCAATGTAGTTATTTGCTCGGTGTGCTATTTGGTCTGTTATTGCAATGGCGTATTGTACTAGTTTTGTAAGAAAGAGCTGGAAGTATTTCAGTTTACTTTTGAATATTTTAAGGTGACACTAAATGTGTATTTCCATCAATAACACGAGGAAATATGCCTTACTCCGATAATCAGCACTTGTTCTGTTTATTTCAAAGATCTTTAAAACAGCCAGGGAGGAAATTATTCCAACACACCTACCCAACATAAATTAAATGTGCCACGGGGTGAACTGAACTCATACTTCAATTTTTATGTAAGTTTTATGCAAATATTTGGCTTGCTTTTAAATAAAACATGAGCAGTTACTCTTGTAATGGGTAGCAGCACTTCATGGAAGACATACCTTTGACAGTATTTATTATAATAATGATTAGTTTTATGAGATCTGTCAGGAGTGTTGACAATAACTCCACTGGTTTTTGAAAGTAGGCGATTGACTGCAGGAGTGGAAGGTCATCCAGTCTCTCTGGGAAATGCATCCCACTGCTAAGAGCTGGTTGCGGAAAGATTGTACATTAAATTCAAAATCCTAATTCAACATTGCATTTTCGATTCTAGTTGAGCAGAGCTAAATGCAAGTTCAACTGCCATTGCTATGGCATGTTTACTGCCTTACTTAAGAGGCGTATACTTAAATGCTTTGTTTCATAGAAGCCTACAGGTGTAATGTGCAAATATGTTTCTGAGGTTTAGAGATATGATACTAGGATCAAAGTTAACTTGGTATTTTCTCAAGGCTTACTTACAGAGGATTTGGGTATCTCCTAGGTAATCTGGTTACTTCAGGAGGTTCGAACAGAACCTTCCAGGGCAGAGCAACGTATGATATTTGATTTCAGGTTTCTAGGCACAAACTATTTAGTGTCGTTTCCCAAAGCAAGCAAGTAACCAAGAAAACTTTGGGCAGACTCAGATTTGGCAGTTTGGTAGTTGACTTAGGGCTGCTGAAATCACTTTCCTGATCTCAACAGAATCCTTACTGTACCTCAAACATATCCTTAAGTTGTATGTCCTATTATATATTACCTGGGCTAGTTAATATACTAGAAATCATAAAATTACCAGCTGGTCAGGATGGTAAGGAGGAAAGAACTTCCCTTGATGGGTACCTCTGCTTAGAAAAGGAGCAAAGTTCACAGAATCACAGAATCTTAGTGGTTGGAAGGGACCTCTGAGATCATCAAGTCCAACCACAAAAAAAAACCCCAAAAAACCAAAAAAAAAAAAACCCCCAAAAACCCCAAAAAACCACACAACCACCACAAAAACAACAAACCCAAAACCACCACCCACCAACTAAAACCCACACCCACAACCCCACATACTACACCCCACCACAAACCTATAATCTTGGGCACTAGAGCATGCCCTGAAGAGCCACGTCTACACGTTTCTTAAATACCTCCAGGGATGGTGACTCCACCACCTCCCTGGGCAGGCTGTTCCAGTGCCTGACCACTCTCTCAGTAAAGTAATTCTTCCTCATATCTAATCTGAATCTCCCCTGCCACAGCTTCATACCATTACCTCTGGTCCTGTCATCATTCCTTTGGGAGAAGAGGCCAACCCCTATTCTGTCATTTTTTTACACAAACACAACTTCTCTTTAAGATCTAGATATATGCCACGTAACTCTCATTTCAGGATTAGCAACTTTTGTAAATTGCTAATGCAGAAAACTTTCTCTGTCCCTGCTGCTCTTGAAGACATGACTCCACAACACACCTCCTCTGCAAAACTAGTAAAATACCATTATTTCTTTTGTTTGGTCAGGATAATAATGACATGGAATGTAAATTACACAGCAGTTCTTGATTTTATGAGGTTTGGTTATAAATAAGATGGTGCAGATCAATTCAGAAGAGGACTTGACAGAGATCTGGTTGATTACATGAATTGGAAAAATGTCAAGTGCTGAATGTATTGTAGACACATCCCATAGGAACAGATATTGTAGCATAGAACATTGCTGAAGGATGGCACATATTCAGCAACTCCACATTCACCATGATGAAAATTTACCTAAGGAACATGTAGGAGACCATCTACAAGTTGTAAAAATATGGGTTAAATACTTCAGCTTGGTGGGGGAGGGGTGGGGGAAGCTGTCCTGAGCAATGTCAGCCACTGTTTTCAGCTCATGCTTAAGAAGTGGTATGAGTAAGATCACCAATTTCTTTTGTCTTCCCCAGATAAACAAATCAGGCACATTTTGCTTGACTAGTTTCCTGCTAAATGCATTTGAAAGTCCAAAATGATGTAGCTGAAACTTGTGCCTTTGGGAGTCCTTCTCAGATGCTTTACTGCTATCATCTTGCATATCTTTTCATATTATAATAAAGAGAATCGTGTGTTAGGTATTAAATATTTACCTGTAGGTTTTTCTGAAAACTCCTCTGGCTATAAAAATTGTACTATTAGAATGGGGAATCCCCCTAAATAACTTCTGATACAGAAATTATCTGATGGGCCTTAGCACTTGGAGGGAGAAGCATGACTGTAAACTACTGTTTTTCTGTGAGGCCACCTCTTCTGAGCAAAGCAGTAAAGCCAGCAACTCTTAAATAGCATAGGGAGGTTGCTATCAGCTTTTTAAACGTGCCCATTGAGCTAAATTTCAGTGATGGGAAGATAACATCTGGACTTGTGTGAGTAGGCTTAAACAAAATATTCCAAGCATGTGAGAGCTGTGTTCATTATAAGCTGCTGCAGTGAAGCTATGTGTGCTGGTGTTCCAAACATCTTCATCTGAGCTATTAATAACTTAAACCAACTTCATTATGCAGCTTTATAATACAAGGTTTGTTTGCTAACAAGAAGTCCGCTGTTATTTCCTCAAGCTCTAGGATGGCCTGGACGATGAATCCTGGTTTATTCCTGTATACCCCCGATGTCTGGGCATTTTTGAGCCTGCTGTGTATTACTGTCTATTTGTCAACATTAAATGTTATTCACCATATGTTGGGCCATTTGCAGAGCAATTCCAAATCCTTATGAAATCTGTCTGCAGCTGTCTGGGGGCTCAGCATTTCAGTTTCTCCATCAACACTCCATGGAAGTTATCTACATAGAGGAAAATAACAGCAGCTTCAGTTCTTCTCCCCTCTGAGATGTGTTTGAATACTTGGCCCAGCTGAAGAGGTCCTTCAGTACTGTGCTGTCTTCCGTTTCATGAACTGTTACCTTACCTAGTCTTTTAATTGGGATCCTCACTACTGAGTGCTGTGCAGAAGCTTGGCAGGAAGTGAAACTTTTTCAAATTCATATATTTTATGCTATTACATGAGCTGTTTGTATGTCTCAGTCGTGCTAGGAAGCATGCAATTTCCTGTTTGTCTTGTATTTAAACCTGTTCCTGAGGTTTTGTTTAAGCGCTACCAAAAGAAATACATTCCCAATCACAGCAAATGGCTTTTCTAAAAGTAAGTACTAACACCTGAATTAAACTACACATGTATGTGTCTGTGGCTGAAGAAATGAATTAGAAGGAGAAATGCAGTTTTCTTTTTGGTATATTATGAGAATAAATCCAAATTGCTGGCAGCAAAATATTGTCCCTGTTAGTAGAAATTCTGTTTAAAAATACTGTAGAGCCTTCAGAAATCTTAAGCATCACAGATCACTATCATGGATAGTCCTAAGAATGGAAGGGCAGGTTTTCCACTGCTTTGAAAAGGAAAGTTCACTGAACAGTGTTTTAGAGAACTGTTTGGGGGAAGATCGTACTGGATCAAAGACAAAATGGTGCAGCTCTGTGGCTTACTTGAAACTTTTAAATTATTGGTGTTTATAGAGTGGACTTCCTGTTTGTTCCAGTAGTGTTCCAGCTTTTTCTGTGGGCTTGAATACACTGTCTAGTCAAGAAGGACTGACCTTCTCACTCTCTCTCATCATGTTATATGTAAAACCCTTGTGCTCTTCCTACTCCCTATGTTTTATTACAAGCTGGTGATTTGGAGTTAAAATAGAGTGAAAAAATAGTCAGATGATGACTAGGAAAAGAAACTCAGAGGAAACCTTTTTGGGCATTGGTTTCCTGTAGTGAATAACTCTCTGCAAATCTCTGAAGTGAGATTTGTGCTTCTGCTGTAGCCAGGACATCTTCTGTGCAAACTGTGCCTTTGCTTTTGAGCTTCTTGGGCTGTGAAGATCACAGATGACTTCTCCTCCTCTCAAGCCTCAGCTAGGTCACCCCTGGACAACTTGTGCTTGCAATCAACTGTGCTGAAGCCATAGAGAAGTGGCTGGTTTCTATGTTCAAGGAATATGGAAAGGATTACATTTTTCATCTTCACGAGTGCCAGTGGCAGCCAGAGTGCTACCTGAGATGTCACCAAGTGGTGGATGGTGAAGTCACCAGGCAATGGATTGTGACCTCATGTCCCTGGATGCTTATCCTGGGGCGCCGGCAGAGCTTGGGCCAGTCTGGCTCATGCCTGGACTCCTGCTGAGCGTGACCGCGAGGTGTGGAGGTCCGAGCCAGGCTTCTCCAGGTGCTGGGTAGTGCTTTGGGGGCTGCCATCGGCAGCTCTCCGTGCCCGTCCCAGAGCCACCCCCTGTGTTTTTCCAGCCCTGCCTGACAGCAGCGGAGGTGAGCTGTGGGGGAAATGTCCCCCAAGGCGGCCATGGGGCGGGTGGTGGGGCAGCAGCGGGGCAGTAGGGTTGCGAGTGGGGGCCTGCGAGTGACCGTGGCCTCTCTCCGCTTTACAGTGTTCAACACCCTCTGGCACCGCCTCCACCAGGGAGGGGGAGCAGCTCCTCATCCTCGGCTCTCCCCAACGCTCCGAGAAGCACCACCATGGCCACGGAGTCAGAGGGGTGCTGTCCCGTCTGCCAGGATGTTCGGAAGGGCATCGCCTCAGTGGAGCCGTGCCAACACCAGTTCTGCCTGGGCTGCATCCTGCGGTGGGCCAAAAGGACATCCAGCTGCCCCCTCTGCAGAACAGTGATGGAGAAAATCAAGTTCTCCGTGCGGGGAGAAAATGACTACCTGGAGCAGGTCATCACGCCCCCCGCCCAGCCAGCAGGTGCCAGCAGCCAGGCAGGCACAGCTCCCGGCGGCCTGGAAGAGCAGGAGGCTGCGGGGACAGAGGCCCAGGCCTGCGTGGGTGGCCTCCAGCCCCAGGTCTGGGCAGAGCTCTTCCAAGAACACCGGCACCTCCTGGACCCCGTGCTGCCCTGGCTGCGCCGGCAGCTGGAGGCCATCTACGAGGAGCAGTGGTGGCTGGCAATGGCGGCCGAGAAGCTGCTGGTGCAGGCCCTCTGCTTCTACGGCCCGGACGAGGAGGCCGTGGTGCGGCGGATGCAGCCGGGCCTGGAGGAGCACACGGCCCCGCTGGTCCGCGACCTCATCAACGTCGTGGTGCGCCGCTGCGGGAGGGAGGCCCGGAGGCTGCTGCGCGCCCTCGCTGCCGGGCAGGAGGCCGACGAGGAAGAGGAGGAGGATGAAGAGCAGGAGGAGGAGGCCGAGCGGCCTGGGCCCAGCCCCGGCCCCAGCGGCTCCCGGGGCGGGCCCAGCGGCCCCCGCCCGGCCTCCTCCAGCGGCGCTGCGGGCTCCCCGCCCCGGGAGGAGCCGGGGGCGGCGGCAGCGGCGGGTCCCGGTGGTCCCTCGGCTCCCGTCCGGGGCAGGGACCGCTCCGCCCGGGGGCCCCGGCGCCCCCCAAAGAGGAGGGCCCCCGGCCCCCAGGAGTGTCCCCGGCCCGGCAAGAGGCCGCCCCGCCGGCGGCAGTAGCCGGGCTCCAGCAGCCCTCCATTACGGAGGACAAAGGAAATAAAATCCCATTTCCCCCCAACGGTCTCCGGTGCCTCTTTCTGCCCCTTCTCCTCCTGCCTCTCCCTGCACCCAGTGTCCCACCGTGGCGGGCACCACCCTGCTGGGGGCACGGCCATGGGCCCCCACAGCCCCTGGGCCATGTCAGCGGCACCTCCTCCCCAACAAATCCTGCTGCAGCCCTGACACTGGAAAAGGGCCTGGAAAAGCCCCAGGGCCCTGCTTGTAGGGCCAGGAGGAGTGAGAGGGTGACCAGGCGTTCCTTGGGCAAGGAAAGGAGAACTCTGATAAAGCCCAACACAATGTCTGCAGAATGCATCAGTGAAAAATGCACAGTTTGCTGATGTGGAATCGGAGAAAACGTACAACCTGAAGACCAATTAATTAAAGTTCATTTGATTGGGGTGGAGCGGGGAGAGAAAGACCTATGCATTTATATAAAAATTATAAAAGCAAGGGAGGAAGAAAGGGAAAGATTCAGTAAAACAGAGATACAAGGAGGTAACACCAGAAGTGTTGTTCATATGAACACCAATAATACATATGGATCTTGCACGTATGTTTAAAATGAACAAACAACAAACCAGCCAACCAAAACAAGACAAATATAAGAAATAAATAAAACACAGAAATGTGCTCATTGAAACTTAGGAAACTGTTTTCATATACATTGTTTGTATTTTGGGTGATCCTTTTGCTGGAGAGCAGGAAGAAATTACCAAAGGCAGCCAAAGAAGGAAAGAAAAAGTACTAATATTTACCATATAGAATCATAGAATCACGGTATGGTTTGGGTTGGAAGGGAACTTAAATATCATGTAGATACACCCTCATGGTAAAGATTTTTTTCCTGATATCTGATCTAAACCTCCTCTCTTTTAGTTTAAAACCATTTCCCCTCATCCTCTCACCACACTCCCTGACAAAGAGTCCCTCCCCATCCCTCCTGTAGCCCCCTTCAGGTACTGGAAGGGTATACAAGGTCTCCCTGGAGCCTTCTCTTCTCCAGACTGAACAACCCCAACTCTCTCAGCTTGTCCTTATAGGAGACATGCTCCAGCCCTCTGGTCATCTTCATGGCCCTCTGCTGGACCCATTCCAACAGATTCATGGCCGCCTTGTGCTGAGGACCCCAAAGCTGGACACAGTACTCCAGGTGGGGTCTCACCAGAGTGGAGTAGAGGTACAGAATCACCTCCTGTGCCCTGCTGGCCACGCTTCTTCTGATGCAGCCCAGAATGCAGTTGTCTTTCTGGGCTGCCAGCACATGGTGCCATTTCATGTTGAGCTTCTCATCCACCAACACCCCCAAGTCCTTCTCCTCCGGGCTGCCCTCAGCCATTCTCCGCCCAACCTGTATTTGTGCCTGGGATTGCTGTGACCCAGGTGCAGGACCCTGCACTTGGCTTGGTTGAACTTCATGAGGTTCATACGGGCCCACTTCTCAAGCCTGTCCAGGTCCCTCTGGAAGGCATCCATTCCCTCCAGTCCACTGCTCCACACAGCTTGGTGCCATTGGCAAACTTGCTGAGGCTGTACCTTTTCCTCAGAAACGCTCTTCATCTGGAGAAAAAAGGAGATCTTGTTGCAACATTGTTAGTCAGGAAAATTAAAATTAAAATTTCATTTTGGGTGGAAGAACATTTGCCTGGGTCTTCCAGTGCTGCTGTTGTGTGTCGGAGTGTGGGAGAGCTAGCACTTCCAAAAGGTCTTGTGATGGATCTGACAGATGTAGTCACTCATGAAACCCCACAGTTGTGTATTTCAATACTTTTCAAACAAATTCATTTAGAAATTTTCATTTTGAGATGAACATGCAGTATCAGTGCTAATCAGATACTGAAATCCTACACAAACTAAGCAGAAAACAGACTGGGCTTAAAAGTTTGATCAACATAATTGATGTGTGCTGTGGTCTTGCTCACTGGCATGGGTTACTTTGTTCACAAGGAAGGTTTCAGTGCCCTCTTTCACAAGCAGGGGAGGAAACTAATGGAACAATATTGGTGATAATTCAAAGACTGAAGTGCAAAGTTAACTTGTGATTATGGTATAACTGCTGTAATAAGCAGTAATGTCAGCTTAATGGAAGTGGTGCGGGGAGCCATTAAGGACTAATTTATGCGCAGCACAACTCCTCTTGCCCCACAGGACTAGAGCCAAGGGAAGCTTTGCACTAAAGCTACCAAGGAGCTGTGCTGAAAAAAAATAAAGCTTTAGACTAAGGCTTAGCTCCTTGAAGTGGATTGCCAGTAAACCAATTACAGTGGAAAGACACTCTGGGGTGGTAATTTGGGGGCTCATGTGGTCAGCGCTGGAACGTTAGCCCATCTGGTTTATTCGCCCTGATGTAAACTCACTCTGCCCACACCAAGAGGGAAAGCCATCCTCTGGCACACTTCAAACATTGCACAAACGGAGGCAGCAGCTGCTGAAACCTGTAATGCTTACCAGCACAACAAGATACTGAGCTTCCACAGTAGGGATTAAGCTTAAGAAAAGTTTATGAGTTTGTTGATGCTCTACCTAGTATTCTTCTGTGACTTTAGGTCATTTTTCCTTGTGATCACATAATCATAGAATGTTTTGGGTTGGAAAGGACCTTAAAGATCAAGTTCCAACCCCTCTGCCATGGGCAGGGACACCTCCCACCAGACCAGGTTGCTCAAAGCCCCATCCAGCCTGGCCTTGAACACTTCCAGGGATGGGGCAGCCACAGCTTCTCTAGGCAACCTGTTCCAGTGCCTCACCACCCTCACAGGAAAGAATTTCTTCCTGATATCTAATCTAAATCTCCCGTATTTCAGTTCAAAAATCCTACCCCTTGTCCTGTTGTTACACTTCCTGATAAAGAGTTCCTCTACATCTCTTATGATAATTATGATACTGAGGTGTTCATCTACATCAGACATTCTATTTTTAACAAGGACACTCCACTTTATCCCCAGATGGAACTTCTTGTGACACTTCTCTTCTAGGTTTTTCCAGTTCATGTTCTGCATCCTCACATTGAGGCAAAATTCCTCATTTGGGCCTTTGAGAAAACTTTTTTAAAAGATTCTCTCAAACTATTTCAGATTACAGAAGCTGCCTACTTTTTACCTGATTTAAGAAAATCAATCGAGATTATTTGGAAAACACTAAAGAATGAAAAAAAAAATCATTTTTCTGATGGATAACTAATTAATTTGTCTTACAGTGAAAGTATAAAATTGTTTGGGTTAAAGCAATGGACTAGGACTCCAAAGATCTTGATTTTAGTACTGTCTCTGGTATCGAAAACCAGTTCTGACCTTGGGTTTTTAGTTTTTTCATCTGTGCATCTTGGTTCCCATCTGTGTACCTTCAGAAAAGTGAAGAGTGAGGGCATGATTGCATGAGATATTCTGTTACTATGGTAATGGATGCCACAAAAGAGCCTATTAATAAATATTTGAAAAATCTGCAGCCACCTCCTTACCTTCTCCTCAATAAATCCTACCCCTCCCACTCTATATTATTTTGCATTAGTATTTTAAGGAACAGTATGCACATTTCAAATGTTGGGCTTTATGTAAGGCAATTGCATCATTCATATGCACTAGCTCATGGGAGGAAAATAAAGTATTTGCGCATTTTATAGGATATTATAGACATGCCTTATTCAGATATAAACACACCAATATATAAACATAGCAGTTCTCCATATGCATGCTTTTTTTTATTATTTTTTTCAGGAAGATGAAGAAATCCTTAATTAGTAAGCATCAATAATATCTTCTTTCCAAAATCTAACTCAGTTTTTTGCTAACTCTTGTGCATTCAGAAGGATTATCCAAGCTAAACAGCATTTGAATAAGGAAGAAGAATAATATTGAAGCATGTGAGATACAGATTTTCTGTTTTTCTTAGACTATTTCTTGTGGTTCTGTGCACAGAGGTTTTCATTGGATAGACAGTGATGAAACATCCATAAGTCACTTTCAATTTCTATCTGGTAACAATGGCCAGTGGTTGCAGTAAACCGAGTCTGAAATAATGGCATTTATTTGGCATTAGAGAGCAAGTACGCCCACTGCTAACTTTGTTCAATAAATTTGTAGAACTCTGGCCACGTCACACTAACTTATATGGGCATTTAAATTAGACCTGTCCTTTAGAGAGTAATACAAAACAAATCGTACTGTATGTTCAAAGGAATCATAGAATCATATGGGGTTGGAAGGGACCTCTGGAGATCATCAACCCCCCTGCCAAAGCAGGTCCACCTAGAGCACATTGCACAGGAACTTGTCCAGGCAGGTTTTGAATGTCTCCAGAGAAGGAGATTCCACCACCTCTCTGGGCAGCCTCTTCCAGTGCTCTACCACTCTCACAGTAAAGAAGTTCCTCCTCATGTTTAGGTGGAACTTCTTATACTGAAGTTTGTGCCCATTTCCTCTTGTCCTATCACTGGGCACCACTGAAAAAAGACCAGCCCTGTCCTCATGACACCCTCCCTTTAAGTATTTGTAGGCATTAATTAGATCTCCCCTAAGCCTCCCCTACTCAAGACTAAAAAGACCCAAGTCCCTCAGCCTCTCCTCGTAAGAGAGATGCTCCAGGCCCTTAATCATCTTTGTGACCCTTTGCTGTACCGTCTCAAGCAGTTCCCTGTCCTTCTTGAACTGGGGAGCCCAGAACTGGACACAGTGCTCCAGATGGGGCCTCACCAGGGCAGAGTAGAGGGGCAGGATGACCTCACTCGACCTGCTGGCCATGCTCTTCTTGATGCACCCCAGGATGCCATTGGCCTTCTTGGCCACAAGGGCACATTGCTGGCTCATGGGCGTCCTGTTGTCCACCAGAACTCCCAGGTTTTTTTCCTCAGAGCTGCTCTCCAGCAGGTCAGCCCCCAACCTGTAGTGGTGCAGGGGGTTATTTCTCCCCAGGTGCAGCACCTACACTTGCCTTTGTTGAATTTCATTAGGCTTCTCTTGGCC